AATGAAAAATTACTGGAAGTAATATTGTTTATTTAATAAATGATTCACTAAGACCCTTAAAAAGAAATGATCAGATAAGGTGGGAAAGATTTGCTAAAGCAATTTGGTGGAGCGTCGAGCCTAAGGTTGCCGAAGTCTAATTCCCCGGTCGAACCTTAAAACCTATTACGCGAGCTATTAATCTAAGTGGACTGTATCTACTAAATGTTTCTACACTTATATAAACGGCAACTATAGCATGCGGTACAATGCACTCGCTCTCCCCTAAAAACGAACTATTATTTGCCAAATCGATGAAAGGAATCCTGCTTGATTAGGAGAAAACAAAATTGGAGCGGGTTAAAACAATTATATCAAGCAGGATATATTTAGGAATATTGACTCACCGGAGTTTCTTCTATGCTGTCGAGCACTATAGCTGCGACTTCTGGAACTTCTTCTGAAACACTCCGGAGAGAGGCGGTGCGCGACTATATCTCACACGAGGTGAGGCGGGTTTCCTGGAGCTCGACTGCTTCCAGGCTAAAGCGGTTCTACTAGTGGTGTGGTTCCAACAACGAGCGCGGCGGGAAGAGAGCGCGCGTCGGTCGCGCGTGCCTTTTTATATCTTCGGTTGCGATGATTACGTGATATTCTAGAATCATCTTCTTTCCCCTCCCACCCACCACCCCGATGTGTCGATAAGAGGGTATGAAAGATATCGTTTTGGAATGGGATAACCGATTTGGCAGCCTACCGTCAAATTAAATAAATACGAATGGTTTTCCGCGCAACCACAATTAAAGATATAAAAGTACCACTTATATTGGAAATCTAAAGAGATGTGAGTTTATTAACCAGCTTCAAGCAAAATATCTGAACAAACCCTCTTAGATTGAAGTTCAAGAGTTTTCTACACCGAGCAGTGGAGATACAACATATATAATAGTATAACCAAAATAGAGTTTTCTGCACCGATCAGTAGATATAAATCCGTAAAAAGCTTGTTTGGGAAAAATGGACCCCGTACTAGAAGAAATTAACACAATTTATCATGATCCATCTTATCCTGCTTGTTTTAGTAGTATTGGAAAATTATCAAAAGCCATGAAGGGCGAAATGGATAAAGCAATGGTTACAATCACAAGAAACATACACATTACATAATACTATTCAAAAAACTTCCCGCGTAATAGATACATTCTATCAAACATTACTGAACTGTTTGCAAGCTGATTCAAGTGATATGCGAACTTATTCTCAATATAATGATGGTTTCAACTACATATTTTGTTTTATTGATGTATTTAGTGAATATACTTTTGCAAAACCATTGAAAAAGAAAAATTCATAAACAACTAAAGAATGCTTTGAAAGTATATTTACTGAAAGTAATTTAACACCCACTCACATACAATTTGATAAACGTACAAAATTTGTTTCTTTTTTAATATTAAGGTCAGTATTGTTGAACGATTTCAATGAACACTAAAAATGAAAATGTGGCGTTATTTCACTCATAATAATACTTTACAATATTTAATATACTCTTATAATCACAGCTTTGACTCTAGTATTAAGATGTGAATTATGTGAATGAACTTTCTTTAGAAAACCCAAAACCAAATTTCAATGTGGGTGATTATGCTCGAATAACTAAATATAAACAAGTTTTTCAAAAAAGGATATGAATCAAATTGGATTGATGAAATATTTATTATATCTTCAATAATTGATGGATCTCCATGAGATGTTTATACAATAACAGATTTACAAAATGAACCAATAGTTGGTACTTTGTATGAATGAGAATTACAAAAAATCACTTACAACCCCACCTCACAATATAAAATAGATAAAATAATTGACACTCGTTATTCAGGCAACAGGAAAGAAGTATTAGTGAAGTGGAAAGGTTATCCAGACAAATTTAACAGTTGCATTTTAGCTTCTAGTTTAAAAGAAATATGAATAAAGGAAGTTTTTATTTTACTTTGTTCAGCAATAGTTCAATGGAATACTTTTCTGATAACAAGACCACATTTTTTTCAACAAAATTACCAAAAGCTATGAAATTAGAAGGTGAATGGTCGGTCGGAATTGTCGAGTTTCAATATCCATGTACCGTGTTTACTGTTCAAGATCATGAAAATGTTATATACATTATAAAATTCCATGTTAATGCCTAATGAAGATAAGCCATCCACAGTGTTCTACAAACGTTACGTAACGTTGAGCATATTTTAAAAGCGTTATATGGTATTGGAGAGAACTTGAAATTTCGCTTTGATGAAATAACAAAATTTGTGTCTCTTTCGGTTTTGGATAAAAATATATCATCCGCACTGACCTCAGGTCACTGATCATCCGTAACATTATCACCCAAATTAAGTTTACAACTAGGTTATGAACAAAACAAAAATCTCCTAGAGAGAAATTTTGGAAAGTATCCTACTAATTTACATTTAGGGTTACCATCTCAACTATTTCTATATTGCGACATTATCGATCCTCAGATTTTATGACTCCTTTACTAAGAGTCATTTCATTAGACCCTACAAAATACATTTATGGTGCAAATAAAATGCATGTTTTCTCTCCACCTCACTACTTAGGTACCTTTTACGCCAAGAGAGTTCGATACGCTGGAAATAGTTATAAGATCGAGCACAGGACAAAAAATACCATTCCAGTCGGAACCTTGTGTATTCAACTACATTTCTGTAAATTATAATCATGCGTTCTCTTCGTGATCTTCATAAATGTCCATATGAAAATTATTATACACATCAAGCTGGGTCAGGAGTTAGAGTAATTAATAAGAGATCACCATACAAACGCGGTCATGGTATTGGGAGCTTCTTAGGGGGATTATTTAGATCAGTTTTACCTTTACTTTCAAGTGGTACTCGAATGATTGACAAGGAGACATTAAGCACTGGAGTAAATGATATATATCGGATATGGTTCAAGCGTGTCCTACGGAAGCCTCAATAAAAGATTGTATAAAGCAAGTTAGTACGAATTTAAAACAAAAGGCTATTGACAAAATTGATCAATTTAACATGACGGGATCTGTGTATATTACTAAAAGAAAACGATTGGCCTTGTTTATTCCACCATTAACTGCTAAAGTGAAAGCTGCGAAAAAACTTTGCCTAAAACAAAAAAATATCAAATATATATTTTCAAATTAAATATTTCTTTCCTTCATAATCATTGTTGTGAGTGAGTTAAGTCAGAATTGGATTTGCTTGCACTACGGCCTACACAAACAAGCATTGAAAATGGATTGTGGATTCACTATAAACCAATTTCATCTGTTGCTGATGATGGACCTATCGAGTTTCAAGTTACTGTGACAGGAAATGACTACATAGATTTGTCTCATATATAATATATTCTTAGGACAGGTACCCAAAAGATGTATAATTGGATTTGTGAAAAATTCTGGTTCTCTTTCTAAAAATCCATTTAAGTTTGAAAACAATGGTATTAATTCTTTCAGCTTATATATTGATTATCAACAAATACCTTGAAAATCTTTGCAACCACCTTTTAATAATAGTATATTTACATCAGCATATCATACTCTATTCTCGGAAACTGGTATTCACTTTCTTAATGAAGGAAATGGAATCTCTTGTGAATAGTATGCCAAAGGTTACTGTCTTATTATTTGACTTAACTCCTGACACTCTCATCATCCCATCGATCTCATAAAAAATGGTAGTGTAAAAGTACATTTGAATCCTCACTAATACGACATACTGTTAGTGTATGCTGAGTTTGATAATATTATTTAAATAGATAAAAAACAGAAATGTTACTGTAGACTACAGTTGTTAAGGTTATAATAATATGTGTTAGATTTATGTGTTATGCATAATGCATTTTGTGTGTATGTAACTATGTGAAACATTATAAAATTACATAAAACAAATTTTATGCAATATATTATTTTTTATTTCTTTATAAACCCTCCTATTTAAACTTATACAAAACACTGTTCGAGTTTCCGTAATGATACTGATAGGTAGTTAATTTATGAGTGAAAAAGTTTACCTCGTATTCTTTCGTGTTGCGACTTTTGCTACACCGATGGCTCCTACAAATTATCACAAAAGTATTTAATATTTACAATTCACTGCAATTGATCACTCGTATGTTAACCATTGAATAGATCGGTAATGTAAAAAACTATTAGCAGTAATATTCTGGATACACTAGATGTACATCTGAAAAAGATTCATCCCTGCCCTGTACACCCACGTACCAAGTGTATTTATGCAATTTGGATACAGATGATAAACCAGGCTCACATTGGATAGCTTTATATATCGATACGAATGGTATCGTTCAATATTTTGATTCATATGGACGACCACCTGCACGATCATCTAGAGTTTTTAAAAAGGAATTGTAAAAGATGGGACCGGAATGTCGATAGGATTCAGGATGAGTGGACTTCAGTTTATGGTGAATATTGCTGAAACTTATATAGCATACATTATAATATATATTATAATGTATGCTATATAAGTTTCAGGAATGTTCAATGCATAGTTTTAAGAGCATATTTACAGGGAACACACATATTTTAGTGAATGAGTTGTTTCGCTCCTATTTTATAAATAATAAGCAATAAAATTTTGGAAATAAAAATTGTAACAAATTTAAGGAATGTGTTTTATTGGTGATTTAGAATAGCGTGGTAGTTAAACAAAGAAATAAAATACAATAGGACTAAGCAGGGCTTACAACGAGTAGATAAGAAGCGGTAATGACGGTGTTCAAGAAACAGTAGGTAAGAGGAAAGGTTGGAAATAATGGAAACGCTAATGTGGGTGCAGGCTCACGGGATATCAATTAGATGTTAGTTAATTGATCGGCATATCTTCGGAAACGCGCATCCTACGCAAAAAAGGATTCGTGATCAGAGCATGTCAAAACCTTTTCTTTGTATAAACACACTACTCATGTAGGTATTGTATAGTTACGCTCTAAATTGTGTGTTACAGACTATAGTGCCCGACGGTCCACAATGCCTGTACGACCTTGTTGAGAAGCATGGTGCCGTGACCATGCATATCTATTACGTTGAAAGACCCTGGTTCATCGGTTGTTTGAGAAATTGATTATTTGTTTGATATTAGTTTAATATGTAACTGTGTATTATTTACAAAGAAATAAAGGAGTCGTCAACTCTGACTTGCTATATTTGTGGTCAAAATGGACATATCACGACAACCTGTCCAGATGGACGAAGCAGTAGTGAAGTAGCGGTCATGGTGGTCAATCATTGCGATCACTGCCTCTCGAGGGGTGTCTTGAAAACGTCTTCCGTTACATACTGACGCAAGTTGAATGTTATGGCAATATTCTCATCTAAAGAAAAGACGATTTACCATATTTAATAGAATATTACAATAGCTGTCAGAGCCGTGGTAGCTCAGATGGTTAACGCTCGCTGTAAATATAACAAAACGCGAGTAACCCGGGTTCGATCCCCACCGGCACCAATGAAATTGTTAATTGCAATTTTAAGTGCTGATTTACCACGTGCTCGGCGGTGAAGGAAAACATCGTGAGGAAACCTGCATGTCTGAGGAATAAGGAAAAAATATTTTGAAGACATGTGAAGTTCGCCAACACGCTTTGGGGCAGCGCGACGGACACTTCCTTGACCTAAAACCCTCTCAGAAATGAGGGGAGGCCTGTGCCCAGCAGTAGGACGCATATAGACTGTAACTTTACTTTTACTTTACGATAGCTGTCTATCTGAAATAGAAACTAGCATTCACTTTACACAAGTTAGATACGTTTGTAGTACCGAAGTAGTTCCACCGCGCGGTGAAGCTCTTTATTCACTATTTGTAAGTTTGACGTTTTGTAGATTTTTTACGGACTATAATTTGCTAAATATTTAAAAATTCATAATCGATTTTACGCCACGAGTACGTCGTTGGTGGGCTTATTTGTTTGGCAAAAGTAAAATCGTTTGCTAATTGGAACTTTGTGATTATAAAAGTAACGAAAAGAACCAAACTAAATTAGGTAAAAATTTAAAGAGTCCTTTGTTATTACCGCAATTCTAGATAACGATAGGTATGAAGTAAAAAGTTTAAGTGTATCACATCGTGCTTATAGGTATGCCCATGAATAATGAAACCTAGTACCTCTGGAATGTAAAGATTTACTTGAAATAACTGAATTTTTATTAAATGAAAGGGAAGACCGTGACTTCGCTATTGGATGCGAAAGAGAAATGATAATACAATCATTTTAAGAATTTTTGATGGTATGCTTTTGGTGATGGTATTGGACACAGACCAGTAGGTTATGATACAGCAAGCGTATAATCCGATTATGAATCTTCTTATAATCAATATTGAATTGAAGTTAATAACGAAGTTCACAATGAAAAAGATAATCCACAGTAATTAGTAAATTTGAACTGTTATGTACCTAGTAAGGAACATAACAGTTCAAATATATGTGTAGAAACATTTGGATAAAATTATTTTAACCGTTTTTTTTATAGATCTGCATGATAAAAAACCAAGACCTGTACCGTGTGTTTGATACCATATTTTATTATGTGGTCGATCCTGGTATTGTGAAATGTGACATCCGTCGTAAAATAGTACCTTGATGCTGCTGTTTCGTATGGTGGAGTGAAGAGAACCGGAGACCCTTTTGCCGAAAGCGAGGCATTCCATCTTAGTCTTCACGGTTGACAACGCATCTGCAATTTGATTCGTAATCGAGGATAGATGTAGATGTCTATGGACCACAGCAACCACTTACCATCAGGTAGACTGTGTGCCTGTTTGTCATCCTATCCTACAAAAAAATACTAATAAATCATTTGGTTTAGTTGAAGGGATTCACTTGTCTAAACCAGACGAATTATTTTGTATTGTCAAGCCTGGTAAACAGGATATGGACATCCGGGCTAATCCGGCGGTTTAGTCGAAGGGATGCCTACTTGTCAGTATCAGATGTACACCTTTCTTGACTTATCGCAGGAACAGCGTCCTCCAGACTTTACCTAAAGAGTTAGTTGAAGGAATGCGTTCGTCCGGTCCAAGTCATTAAAGTTGTTATGATATAGGTGATGGTGTTAAAAATAAATGAGACTTCTGCAATGTGTTAAGACCAGGATGCACGAGCGGATAACTTAGTGATTGTAAATATTTGTTACAGGATTCTTGTAAAATACACGTCTGAGGATTGTCGCATGTTAGTCTGGCCGTGTCAGCGCATAACTGAAATATCTCCTGTCAGATCGAGAGTAAAGGATTTTCCCTAGCATTAGGTTGTATCTGCGGTAACGTGGCGAACACAGTTGTTTATACATTCCATATATTTGCGACGATATGTTAACGATCTCCGAATCGATCCGCAGAAAAAATAGTAGTGGAAATATCCTTTCAAATTTGGAAGAGTTATATTGTTTAACTACTAATGATAATACATTCATTAAAGTTATATGCTGCCCGATGATGTTTTTGTCTCAATTTCTTGCTTGAGTCTTGTTAGTTATAGGCAGTAAAGATCCGAAGCGATGGTTTTGTCCGACGGTAAAAGCTCATAATAAATAATGCCTTTCCAATCCCACCACACATATATATACATATATATGTGTGGTGGGGATACACACAGCATCACCTTATTGCGTATTAAACCGAGTTTCGCTACAGTCTGTGGAGCTTGACTACGCTTTCACCATGATGTTTTTCGCACCTTCTTGTCGTAGGTGATCCATTCGTCATCATTAGTGATCACTTTTCAAAAATTATTCGGTTTCATTCGTTTCAATAGAAAATTGCAAATGAGTACACGATTCATTACGTTTCGTTCAGTGAACTCGTGTGGTACCCAAATATCGAGCTTTTTTGTACAACCAGACTTTTTCAAATGTTAACAAGCTATGTTGTAACTACTAATATGCTGATGTTGCTCCATTTTTCAAAAATGTCATCGATTTTATCCGTATGAGGACGATCTGAAAAACGATCAGAGATCCCCGAAAGCACTTAAACCAACTTTGTGCTACTCTTACTGACACTATATTAGGTCCATTTTACTTTTTATATTTATTTTTCTTAATTTCCTACATGTATTGATATCAAAACCAGCCAGATACAAACAGTACAACCAAAGAGTTCAATTTTATACAAACAAATTTCGAAGAAACTTTTTGTCCGACCTATTAGACTGTTATGTGGTGGTGATCAAGCTATGCGTGGCACATGACCTCGAGCGAGCTATGGGTTGTAGTACCACTACCGCCGTCCGCCGTGTTATTTTACTCATGTGCTGCAGCGCCGCGATCTCTGCGCGGAACGCGGGGGTGAAATCATAAATTTCGGACCTATTACCCCGCCACCATGTTAAATAAATCACTTTTTGTTTCGCCTCCCTGTTTAGGCACAAGGTGCTCCAACTGCTCTAATTTTTCATCTTATATCAACTGTTTTTGGACATTTAACCTTCCTTATTCCATTTGTTTAATTTTTTGGATCGCTTGATGAAGATGATGATATTTTGCCGCTCCAAATTCAACTGATTCTCGCAATTTTATAATTTGTTCCTTTAATTCTTCAAACGCCGAACGTAAGCAAGAGGTAAAATTAAAAATTTTGTACAACCGACTTCAATGTAAATAAAATGAGAACATCATCGATGTATTCGAAGTCAGTTAAATACGCAGTATTAACACTTTCACAGCGGAGCATTTTAAGGCGCCGCTTGATACGAATGCCGAGTGATACTCGTGATTCGCTGTGAAAGGATTAAGGATAACTTAAAAACTACTTGTCAGATCTGATTATATTACATGAGAAGCAGCAACTTTCAAATGGAAAAAAAACATCAAAATCGGTTCACCCAGCAAAAAATTCTGAGTCATCACACATAAAAAAACATACATTCGAATTGAGTACCTCCTCCTTTTTCAAGTCGGTTAAATATTAAAGTTGGCTTGTTTTTCCTTTCTAAATTCTTCCAAGGACTGTGAAGATTTACACTTACATTCTTGCTGCTCTTTCTCCTTCCTTTTACTGCTATATCATCATCATCATCATCACAGCCCTTCACAAGTCCACTGCTGAACATAGGCCTCCCCCAAGTAATGCCACAAAGCACGGTCCTGAGCCACCTGCATCCATCGACTTCCTGCATATCTTACCAGGTCGTCACTCCATCTAGTGGGGGGTCGCCCTACACTACGCCTACCGGTACGAGGCTGCCACTCGAGAACCTTTCTTCCCCATCGGTTATCGGTTCTTCGAGCTATATGGCCGGCCCATTGCCACTTCAGCTTACTAATCCGTTGGGCTATGTCGGTCAATCTGGTTTTACTGCGGATATCCTCATTTCTGAGTCTATCACGCAGAGAAACTCCGAGCATAGCCCTCTCCATAGCTCGCTGAGCGACCTTGAGCGTCCTCATACGGCCAGCAGTGAAGGACCACGTCTCTGATCCGTAAGTCATCACTGGCAACACGCACTGGTTGTACACTTTAGTTTTCAGAGATTGAGGTATACCTGACGAGAAGATATGTCGTAATTTCCCGAACGCTGCCCAGCCGAGTTGAATCCGTCGATTGACCTCTCGGTCGAAGTTGGACTTACCTAGTCGGACTATTTGTCCCAGGTAAACGTACTCGTCAACAACTTCGAGCATAGTGCTCCCAACAACTACCGGCATAGGTGTGACATGGACATTAAACATAATCTTTGTTTTGTCCATGTTCATCTTAAGACCTATCCGTTGGGAGGCACTATTGAGGTCATTGAGCATAGTGCTTAAGTCCTCCAGCGATTCTGCCATAAGGACTATATCGTCGGCAAATCGAAGGTGAGTGATGTACTCGCCATTGATCCTGCTATAAATGTATTACTATTATATATGATTTACTGCTATAAATGTATGTTTATATCAGGCTAATTAGTAATAATTGTTATTAAAAGTTTCCCATATTCTTTTCCACAACATACTCGACTTCTATGCCAAATATGTATTACCATTTTCGTCAGTCTACATTCGTCTGCCATTCTGGTGTGATTAAACGACGATTATCCAAACAGACATACTTTCACATATGATTAGTGTTGCCCAAATGCAAGA